AAGCAGGAGACCCTACACCATTTCTGACAGAGGGCAGTCCAGTCTCTTCTTGAAAGCCTCCAGGGATGAAGCAGCTCCCACAGCATCTGAGTAACAGAATAATAACAGAGTTGAAAGGGATCTTGTAGGTCATCAAGTCCACCCCCGTCCCACCCAAGCAGGAGACCCTACACCATTTCTGACAGAGGGCAGTCCAGTCTCTTCTTGAAAGCCTCCAGGGATGAAGCAGCTCCTACAGCTTCTGAATAATAGAATAATAACAGATTATTAATCTGGATAATATGGAGTTGGAAGGGACCTTGGTGGTCATCTAGTCCAACCTCTCCCCCCGCACCGCAAAGCAGGAGACTTTACATCATATCTGACACAGGGAAGTCCAATCTCTTCTCGAAAGACTCCAGGGATGAAGCAACTTTCATACAACTTGTGAAGGGAAGCTGTTCAGATACAGATTAAGAGAGTGGGATGGGACCTTGTAGGTCATCTAGTCCAACCCCACCTCCTACCCAAGCAGGAGATGATGCCTACACCAAGGATCAAAGTCTCCTTGGGAAAAGAGCTCAAAAAACTGGTTTGGAACCGGTTTGGCCCCTGCAAACGGGAAAAAAAAAGAAAAAGAAAAAAAAGACGACACAACATTAACGCAAGAAAAACACACAGGGTGGTTGTGAGGTCCCAAGGGGCCGAAACGTGATCCCGGGGAGTTGTTGCTCAGTTCAGGAGGAAGCACAAAAACAGCCAGAAAGAACTAAAGCAGAATTGGGGAATCGGATTGGTGGGGGGTGGATGGGAGACCACCAGGAGATCTTGGGTAGGGCCGGAAAGCAGGAAAAACAGTCAAGTTCTTCCAAAAGTGGAACTTCATTTGAAGCCACCTTTATTTTCATCTTCCAAACATTGGAAAAATCTGAGCTGAATTATGTTGTTCCGTGCAAATTTAGGCACGGAGAAGTTTTACCAGTTGGATGGTTTCCTGGCACACACCAACAGCCCCTGGAAACTCAGTTTTCTACCCTTCTGGGCAGAATAAAGGCAAGTGTCAGCCGGTACACGTGCTTCGCTGCGAAACTATGTGGTCGGGATTAGTTTTGGGGGAGGAAAAGGTGGTGGGGGGAATTCTGCCTCTGCCTACCAGCATCCATCGGTATTCACCTGGCTAGCATCCTGTCAGTGTGTGAGAGAATTGAGGGCTGTTTGGAAACTGAACAGTATTTGCTGAGTGAACAAGGAGGAGACAGCAAGGAGCCTGGGTGTGGCTTAGCTCAACTGTTCTGTACTAAAGCTGCTTGGGGCTGTGAAACTGAAACTCCTCTCCTCTGCTTGTGTTTTGCCTTTGGAAGAGATTTCTTTTCAGGTGGGGATGTGCCCCAGGAGCTCAGAACAACATTTTGTAACACAAATATAATATGCGATTCTAGGCTTTGTATGTTCTGGGGTGTTTTGTACACCGATTAAAATGGTTTGGACTCAGAGCGCTTTATATATTTGTAAATAAATCAGTGCCTCAGGGGACTCTGGATGCCTGGCCCTTTAAGAGCTAGCCATGCCTTCCTCCCACCCAGCTCTGTCCTTTATGCGATTGGTCGCGTGCAGCAATGCCTACTGGCCCCTGAGATTTGAGTGAGGGGAGGCCCACCAATCAGAAAGCAAATAGCCAAGGGATTAGTTCCCTCCTGCTCTGTGCTCCGCCTTGCCTGGCTCATAGAGATAGAAAAATGAAGAGGCGCATGTGGTGCTGCCATTCCTCTCGGGAATACATAATTCTGATGAAGGCAAGCTGGAATTGGATGCAGCCCATAATAACCTTGGCCCATGTTTCAATCTGTGGTTTGGCAGGACGCCTGGATCTTTCTCCCCAGCGCTCGTCCCAAGCCAGGTTCCACCAGTCTTGTGTCTGTAACAGGAACAGAATTGGAAGGTCCCTTGGAGGTCATCTAGCCCAACCCCCTGCTCAAACAGGGGACCTGTGCCATTTTTGATAAATGGCTATCCAGTCTCTGTTTAAAAGCCCCCAGTGATGGAGCACCCAAAACTTCTGGTGGCAAGCTGTTCCCCTGGTTAATTGTCCTCCCTGTTCGGAAGTTTCTCCTTAGTTCCAGGTTGCTTCTCTCCTTGGTTAGTTTCCATCCATTTCTTGTCCTGCCCTCAGGTGCTTTGGAGAATAGCTTGACTCCCTCTTCTTTGGGGCAGCCCCTGAGATCTTGGAAGACTGCTATCCCATCATCCCTAGTCCTTTTCATTAAACTAGACATACCCAATTCCTGCAAATCTCCTTTGTATGTTTTAACTTCCACTCCCTAATCAGGGGTGGGATGTTACCAGCATAACAACCGGTTGCTGGGGGTGGGTGGGAAATAAATAAATAGGGAGACACTTGGTCAGCCTGAATCTGCCACTTCGGTTCTCACGACGGAAATCGGTTTAAGATCCAGGAAAAGAAACTGTCTCTTCTGTGGGCGAGGTGGAAGAAATGTAGTTCTGAAGCAGAACTAAAAGAGGAAATGAAAGAATTGGGGAACTTCTTTTATATATATATATGTGTGTGTGTGTGTGTGTGTGTGTGTGTGTGTGTGTGTGTGTGTATGTATGTGTATGTATGTATGTAAAAACAAACTATTCTAAAAATACGAGTTCCAGGTATACTTGTAAAAGAAGAAACAGATATCCTGCAATCTCTGGAACTTAAAATAACATTTAATGTACTAACTGAGCTTTTGTCAGCCTCTGCTGACATCATCAGAGTTTTAAGCCCCCATTACAGAGATTTATGCCTTTATACAACATTAACCAATTTAGCCCTTACACGCGTGATAGGCCCTCTCAACTGCCTCCCATCCGTAATTCTGGTGTTTTTACCTCCATCATGTTGGTCAAAGGAGACTTATCTCTTGTTATTGTTTTCTCCTGTATATATAAATTTTAATTTTTTTTAACTTGAACATATCATCTTCCATTAAACAGTGTGTCATCTGGGTACAAAATGTCTCTGTGCTATTACAATCAATATTTACAATATCCATTACATCGATAGTAATTCTCTAATCTTACCATAATAATCCTCATTATATCTCAATTTATTTCTCCCTCTTAACATAGCTTCTAATGAAAATATAATATTACCGGTAGGTATGATGATCTTAACAATCCTATAATGGAGGTTTTTAAGAAGAAATTGGACAAGCCATCGGTCTGAAATGTTATAGGGTTTTTCTACTTGAGCAGCCTTCCAACTATATGATTCTATGCTCGATTTGGAGAAATGAGGAGAAATTTCCTGATGGTGAGAAGAATTAACCAGTGGAACAGCTCGCCTCCAGAAATTGTGGCTGCTCCATTCCTGGAGGTGTTTATGGAGATTCTCAATCATCCAGGTCACGGTTGTCCCAAAAGTGCGTTTTTTCAAGAGGCAATTGGACTTTCTTGCTGACAATGGACAGCCATCTCTCTGGAATGGTAGAAGGTTTCTTGCAGGGGGGTAATTTGTTATTCTGATGATGACTACGGAATAACTACGGTTGCCACCTCGACTGTGAAGTAAATTAGCAAGTAGCAAGAAAGAAAACCCAAGTATTTTGGGGTGCATGAAAGTAAAAGAAAGGGGAAGTGAACGGAAGTTCTCTCTGAACCTGTGAAGTGGTTGAATACGTGCATAAAAAGGGAGAGTTTCAGGTTTCGCTATGACTGAACGGGCTAAAACATATGTCAGGAAGGAAGAAATTGGTGACAGCCAAGTGGCTGAGAATGTAATTGGAAACCCAAAGGTTGGTGCACTTCCCAATGTTACACTCCAGGGGGAAATTTGCGGAAGAAACCAAGATTCCCGAGAAAAGATTTGAATGGAGAAAGAGGAGCATAGAGGCATTAAATCACTTGTATATTTATAACTCTGTGAAAATATCTACAGACCCCTCACATCCTGGACATAAACTGTTTCAACCTCTACCCTCAAAATGATGCTATAGAGCAGGGGTGGGCAAGCTTTTTGGCTCGGGGCCTCATTGACTTTTAAAATTTGACAGACGGGCCACCACCTGGTGTCAAAATGCCTGTCATTACAAGTCAAAATCAAATGAATGCAATCATTCAATCATTCACATCAAACCTTAATTCTGTACCAATCTTCGGTGGGCCGGATTAAAAAGACCAACGGGCCGGATGTGGCCCCTGGGCCGTAGTTTGCCCACCCCTGCTCTAGAGCATTGCACATCAGAACAACTAGACACAAGGACAGATTTTTCCTGAATGCCATCACTCTGCTAAACAAATAATTCCCACAACCCTGTCCAACTATTTAGTAAGGCTGTATTTAATATTATTCGTCTCATCCTTCCTATTACCTATCTCCTTTTCTACTTATGACTATAACCTTGTTGCTTGTATCTTTACGATTTGTATTGTTTTAGTTTCCTGGTATGATTTGATTGCTTATTTGGTATCCTATGACTATCACTAAGTGTTGTATCTCAGGATTCTTGACGAGATTATTTTTATGTACACTGAGAGCATTTGCACCGAAGACAAATTCCTTGTGTGTCCAAATCACACTTGGCCAATAAGGAATCCTATTCTATTCCATATTATTCTATTCCTATTGTTAAGTTGGGCGATAGAAGAAGGAGATCGATTCTTCAATTACAGCTCTTTATTCAGTAGATCGCTACAATCCAGCGAGTTGCCTGTCCAACAGCTCACCCTTTTATAGGGAGCTGCCCGATGGCTCAACCAATGAAATTCAACCATTCTTCCCGCCGGAATGGTGGACCCGAGTGAAGCCTTAGTTCCTTGGCTTCACTCCTTACTAGAGTATTCAACACCTATTTTCTTTTCTATTCCTATATTCTATTCTTTCCTATTCTGTTCTGTTCTATTCCTATATTCTATTCCTCTATTCTATTCTTACCTATTCTATTCCTTCCTGTTCTGTTCTTTCCTCTATTCTATTCTATTATTCCTCTATTCTATTCTATATTCTATTCTTTCCTGTTCTATTCCTATATTCTATTCCTATATTCTATTTTCCTGTTCTGTTCTATTCTTTCCTGTTCTTTCCTGTTTTGTTATGTTCTATTCCTATATTCTATTCTATTCTATTCTATTCTATTCTATTCTATTCTATTCTATTCTATTCTATTCCCAATGTCTGCTGTTGTCCATTTGTCTCCTAGCCCCTCATTCTCTCAAGGGAGAGGACCAGGGTCCCCCATCTGCTGGTGAATGACCCCCAGACTGGGTGCCGTTTGGGGATGTTGCAGTTCTCTTAAAAAAAATCGCTATTTTTTTTTTTTAAAGGCACTCTTGAGAGCATCGTGACACCCTTGCACTGACGGAATCTACACACCTAACAATAGGGCCTGGGCTAGAGGATCTCACAGCGCCCCTTCTCAAACAGGTATTTGTTCACACTACTACGATGACGGGATGACTACGCAACGACTGCTCAGACCAGCGTGCGAATTGCGATTGTGACAAGTCCGGAAGCAACTCATTCAGCCACTGCCTTCCCTCACCCCAACAACACAAACCTCCCACCCTTTCCCTCCACGCCGCTGCCACGGCGGCAACTGCGGGGCCGTGGTCAGCGAGCACCCTTTTTATAGTCCGTTCGGGGATGGGCGGGGCCGTTGCTCCTCCATCAGCCAATCGGAATGGGTTTAGAGACGTCGACGCTCGCCGGCTCCGGCCTGGGCCGCCGTCACGTGGGCGTTGGGCGCCTGCGCGGCTCCTCCCCTTTCTTCTCCCTCTCTCTCTCCGTCGTCTCTCTCTCTTCCCCTTCGGCGACGCTTCGCCGTTGCTTCTCTCCGTCGTTGCCACCGGACGGTAAGCGGGACAGGGTGGACGGCCGGGGAGTGGGGGGGAAGGAGGGCTCGGCTTCGTTGAGGCGGGGGAGGGACTCCTCCAAAGAGCCCCTTCTCGCTCGCCCGGCGTTGAGGACCGGGTTGGGATGGGTGGTGGTGGGGGGAACTACACCTCCCATGCTCCCCAGCCGCGCTTGACCGAGGCACATGGGCCTTGGAGTCCCCCCCCCCCCCCCCCCCTCCGCCCCCCTCCTTTGGCCAACTCACCAGCCTGGCCGGGTTCCAGCTTGCGAAGCGGCGGGCGGGGGGTGGGGGAAGTGGGGAGGACTCCCGGCCCCATCGTCCCCAGCGGGACGGAGCGGGAGTTCCCCCTCCGCCCCCACCTCTGTTTGGGAAGAGCCGGTTGGGGGAATCCAGGAAAAATCCAGCCGGTCTGCTGGATGGGGTTGGGTGGGGTGGGGGTCGAGAGGGGAAGGGACACTCACCCCCCCTCTCCCCCATTTTTGGGGGGGGTCTGGGAGGAGGAGGAGGAAGGGGGTGGGGGTGATCTCCCTTTGGAGGGGTTCTCCTTGGAGTCCGCTCAAGATCAGGGTACCCTGAAGAGAGAGGGTCAGCTATCCGTGCCCAGTCTAGCAGCTGGAGGGGGAGGGGGGGTCAGGGTCTCCCCCTGGTGCGGCATGCTGGGAAGGAAGGGAGGGAGAGAGGTGGGGTGGGGGGTCCCAGGAAGTCTGTTGCCCCCCCCCCCCGAATCCCAGGACTGCCTTAACCCTGTTGGGATGGGTGGGTGTCGAAGTTGGGAGGGCAGCCGCCTTCTTGGATCTTCTCCAGCTGTTGGGCAGCCAAGATCTGACGTGGTCTCCCCCTTTTCGGAGTGGGGTCTCCTTTATTGAGGGGAGGGGGTGACCCTGATGGCTCCTCAGAGGGAGCCCATGCATAGGAAGGAACCCCCGCCCACTTCTTGGTCAACCAGAACCAGCTTCGGCCCAATTGTGCTGGGCGCAGAGCTTGTATTTTACAAATAGGTCTGTCTTTTAAGGCTTGTGGACTTCAACTCCCAGAGTTCCCCAGCAAGCCATGATGGTCTGATTGTCCCTGTGGTCAGCCAGGCCTGGCTTGGGTCCAGTGGCTCTGGGGGAAGAGCTTCTGTTTGACAGCTGTGTGTTGGTGGAGGTCATGGATCTCCAAAATTGGCCACTTGAAGGCTTGTGGACTTCACCTCTCAGAATCTCCCAGCAAGCCATGATGGTCTGATTGTCCCTGTGGTCACCCAGGCCAGGCTTGGGTCTAGTGGTTCTGGGTGGGGGGCAGAGCTTCCATTTGACAGTTGTGTTTGTATGGGTTGCGATCTCCAAAATTGGCCCCTTTAAGACTGGTGGACTTCAACTCCCAGAATTCCCTGATCACTCATACTGGTCTGATGGTTGCTGTGGTCAGCCAAACTGGTTTGTGTCCAGTTGTTCTGAAGGCAGAGCTTCCGTTTGACAGCTATGTGTGTGTATGGGTCAGGGGATCTCCAAAATTGGCCACCTGAAGGCTTGTGGTCTTCAACTCCCAGAATTCCCTAGCCAGCGGAGGGAATTCTGGGAGTTGAAGTCCACAAGCCTTAAAAGTGATCAAGTTTGGAGATCCTTGTTATAAGACATTGAGGCTTTGTTCTCTCTCAGGTCTAGGCTGACCAGCCTTTCCCTAACTGGACTGACCTGGTTCCACCTTCCCAACCCAGTTAGTAGACTCTCACCACAAAAAAAAAGAAACCAAGTATATACAGGTAAGGCCTCGACTTGCGACCAGAATCGAGCCTAATATTGTCTTCACTCAACAAAACAGCTGCTAAAATGAGCCTTGCCCCATTTTACGAACTTTCTCACCATGGTTGTTAAGGGAATCAAGGCAGCTGTTAGCAAGACAGTCATTAAGTGAATCTGGCTTGATTTGGCTTGGGAGCAGGTCACCAAGGGGGAATTGCATGATCCTGGGATACTATGACCGTCATAACTATGAGTCAGTTGCCAAGTACCTGAATTTTGATTGTGTGACCGTCGGCTGCTGCGATGGTCGTTAAGTGTGAGAACCGGTCATTGGTCACTAAACGAGGACTTACTGTGTATTCGGGAATATGGGCTGAATTTTCAGCTCTTCCCCGACCGTCATTGTCCCTTGCCACCTCTTGGCGGAAGTACGGATTAATTCCTTCCTTATCTCTCCGTTTCCCAGTTTGTGCCTCTTGTTAATGGATGAACAAAACTTGATCGCAGGGTCCATGGATCAAATGTCAGGCTTAATGGTGGCTTGGTTCCAAGGAATTCTCAGGCAGTGACTGGATTCCAGTCACCGTCATAAAAATCCAATTGTGTTTAAACCACCCCGTGTCCTGGGTGGAAAGTTTGCTGAGTGAGCGCACTTTTAAGAAGGAGATTGGTGCTCTCTTGAGCTGGTCATATTTTTAATATTATGTATGTGTTCATTTTTATTTTTTATTTTTTGTACTTTAATTTTTAATTTAATTTTTTATTATTTTAGTTTAGTTTAGTTTAATTTATAGTTTATTTTATTTTATTTTATTTTAGTTTAAAGTTTATTTTAGTTTAATTTATATAAACTAAACTATAAACTAAACTAAATTATAAATTAAACTAAACTTTAAACTAAACTATAAATTAAACTAAACTTTAAACTAAACTAGTTGTTTAATTTATAGTTTAGTTTAAAATTTAGTTTAATTTATAGTTTAGTTTATTAGTTTAATTTATAGTTTAGTTTAAAGTTTATTTTATTTTAATTTAATTTATATAAACTAAACTAAACTGTAAATTAAACTCAACTAGTTTAAAGTTTAGTTTAGTTTAATTTATAGTTCAGTTTAGTTTATTTTTTTAGTGTATTTTAGTTTTTCATGACCTTTGTGGTGGTTTTTTTTTCTCTTGCTTTCTGCATTTTTAACTTTCGGGACCTGCCCAGAATCGTCGTAGGTTGTGAGATGGGTATCTACTGGTATACAGGTCGTCCTTGATTTACGACGCTTCATTGAATGACCGTTCAAAGTTTCAGTGGCACCGAAAAAAGAGAGTTAAGAGCGTTTTTCACGCTTAAGACCCTTGCAAGCATCCCCACGTGGTCACGTGGTTTACATTCAGATGCTTGGCAACTGACTCACATTGACGACGGTCTCAGCGTCCCCAGGGTGTCATGTGATCCCCTTTTGCGACCTTCAGACAACAACCTGTGACAAGGAAAGTCGTAAAATGGGAGAGAACTCGCCAAACAAATGTTCCCAATAGCAACAGAGCCAATTCTGGCCTCCGCTGTGGCGGTAAGTTGAGCACTGCCTGCATTAAAACCCATCGAGTCCAACGATAGATTGGGTTGATCCCAGGGTCTTTGCTGTGGGATCCTATAAACCTTCCCCGACTCTTCTGGAATCTGGTGCTGTTTCAGAGACAAGCTGGACCCCCCCATTCCCCCTCCCCTTTTGACCTCCTTCGACGGTGCAACTGGATTTGGGATCCCAAAAATAGCACAACGTGGAACGACAGCCATCCCACACAAGGATTTATAGACGCTAAAAGATACTGGACTGAAATATACACACATGGTTGGAAAAAAAAAAAGATTAAACGACATATAGATTTGAAGCCTGAAATATATTCTTTTTTTACTAGGAATGATACATGAAGGTTACAGTAAAGAGAGAGAGGAAAAAAAACATATTTAATCATACACGTATTAACAGCAGCTAGAATTGTATTTGCTCAGAATTGGAAAAGTGACAAGATACCGATAGAAGGAAAAGTAATTGAGAAAATATTTGTGCAGAAATGAATAGATTAACGTTAGAAATTAGAAAAAGACTCTGGATCTTAATTGGTACGGGACTTGTTTTATAATGGCTAGAAAATAAAATTAATTAAAAGGGATTGGACGTAATTATAAAGCAATAAGAGAAACTAGTGTAATAGATGTACTGAATATTATTAATATAATATATTTAAAATACAATATAATAATATGGCACAGCGATTAGAGTGCAGTATTGCAAGCTGCTTCGTCCAGCTGCCTACAATTTGGCAGGTCAAATCCCACCAGGCTCAAGGTTGACTCAGCCTTCCGTCCTTCCGAGGTGACTTAAAACGAGGACCCAGATCGTTTGGGGGCAAGAGGCTGACTTAGAGGGGGCTGGAAAGCACTATAAAGCGGTATATAAGTCTAAGTGCTATTGCTATTATATATATAGGGGAATGTGATTATTTCTATATGGTTATACTATTAAGGAAAATATTATTAGTAATTGTTAAGCACATAAAATATGTACCTAATCGACACATGATTGACATTGAATGGATTTATTGTATGTTAAACATAAAAAAAATTAAATTAAGAAAAAAAACCCAATCCCATGGAATGATTTGTGACATTTGGAAGTCACAATTTGGAATTTATGGGCAGCAAAATGTCATTTCCCTCCCCTTGGGCATTGTGTGTGTGTGTGTGTGTATTTGTGCGTGTGTATTTGTGCGTGTGTCTCCCTTGCTCTGAAAAAATAATTGGAAATAGAAGTTGGCTTCTTTTTAATTTCTTTTGTAAAGTTCTGTTGTTGATATTCTTTCATCCAAGCATATTCTTCACCATTTCTGGAACTGTGAATAGGTCGGCCTTGTCCAAGGACTGTGTTATTTTTTCTTTTGGTGGTATCATTTTGGTTATCATACAAGGTCTTATAAAAGTTATATATTATGTCTTTTTTTTTTTTGCTTTTAAGGTTGACACGGGCCTTTCTCATCCTGTAGTTTTATTATCCACTTCTTCCCTTTTTCTTGTTTCAAAGTCTGTAGGCTAGCCTCCTTCCCACTTCGTTGGCACTTTCCAAAAAGTTTTTGCCGTATTTTTTTATTTGTTGTGCCAGTTCATCTTTTTTCTACAGTTCATCTTTTTTTGTTCAATTTATGTATGATCAGCTCCGTTGGATTTCTTAAGCCTATCTTACGTGGATCCTTTTGTGACTCTTAATTCCAGTCCTTTAATATTCTTCTTCCAGTTTTTTTTTGATCCGTTTTTTTTTAAAAAAAATATTTTTTATTAGACAATGTTTCTTGTATATAACTTTTCCATTCATTACAATGCTTTTGTGACAGTATACGTACTTTTACATAAATCTTAGCTATCTATACACTTGTCCATGTTGCTTAATCTCTTTATCCACTATATCTTTTACCTTATTACCCTATTGTCTTCTTCTCTATTCAACTTTATATCTATTATTTAGCCAATCATACGGTACATTCTACGTCAAATAATCATTTCCTCTCTGTCCTTTATCTCTATGGTCAACTTATCTATCTGGGCACACACTAGTATTTTTCTTATCACGTTTTCCTCCGGTGGTATACTGTCATTTTTCCAATTCTGTGCGTAAGTTATTCTTGCTGCTGTTAATAAATGTAGCATTAAATATTCTGTTTTCTTATCACATTTTCCCATTATTATACCTAACAGAAAAGCCTCCAGTCTTAATTCAGTTTGCTGTTTAATTATTTCTTCTGTCCAGTGTTTTGTTCTTATCCAGTATTTTTTTGCTAATCTTATAGCTAGTCTTTTAATGACTGCTTTTACAGTATCCCACACCTTCTGTAAGGAGGTCTGTTCCTTTCTATTCCCTTTAAAGAAAATTCTCATTTTTCTTTCCATTATCTGTGTAAATTCTTTATCTTTGGTTATTGATTGATTTAAAGTCCACCTTATTTTCCTCTTTGGTCCCTTCCAGCTAATTTTTATTGGGTTGTGGTCTACCCAAAACATTTGGGTTCCATTTCTTGCACATTCTCACTCCGTTCCGAATTCATCCAAATCATGTCTATTCTCAGACCAAGACTGATGCACATTTAGAGCAGGATGTATATATATATTTTTTCTACGGGTTTATTTCTCTCCAGATGTCGTGTGTTGCCCTGAAAAGGCAGTGGAAATATAAGTTGGGCTTCTGTGCCAAGAGATCCAGGCAGAAATCTGGAAGGATCAGAGAGGTTATAAATAGGTCAGGAGGCTGGAAATGCAAACAGCGTGGTCAGGGTGAAATTGCGTGCAAGCCCTTGGATAATACAGGCGGTCCTTGACTTAATGACAGTTCACTTAGTGACTGGGAGGTTACAACACGCTGAACACAAAAAAGGGGGACTTGGGATCCATTTTTCCACACTTAACGACCGTTGCAGGCAAGATCATGGCCGGCTGAGGGATTCTGGGAGTTGAAGTCCACAAGTCCTTAAAGTGGCCACGTTTGGAGACCCCCGCCCTAGGAGACGACCAGCTGGGCAAGGCCCACTGCCGTCAAAACTCAAGAGCTGTTCCCCCTCGGGGTTTCCCTGAATTAGTCTGACCCTTTTCGAAGGCCACCAAGCAAGTAGCCTGTCAGGATTCTGACAATCGCCCTAATTAAATCATGATTCTCGAGCCAAACTTCGAAAAAACTTTGAAGGATTTATTAGAGGCGACATACCGGCACTGCCCTGTATGAAGCCAACTGTCAGGGCTCCGACAAATCTACCCCCATTTAAATCATAAGTCTCTAACCGCATCTCTCAAGAGTTAAAAAAATAATGATTTATTAGGAGTGGTCGTGTTGGCGTTAGCTGGGTGCAGCCGACACTAAAATACATCATTCATTTCCCCCTATGAGCCTGGTCTTCCGCCCACATCCCCTGGATGTATATTCTCCAATGGGACACATCCCTAGCCAAGAGTCATCAATCATGCTCTCCAGTAATAATCTTGTGCGCCAGAAGCTTCGGCCGCCTAGCAATTATCTATGAAAATATTTGAGGTATGCATTATTTCCCGCCACTCCCTTTCTTCTGACATCTCTAAAAGACCAGAGAAATGTTTTATGAGTTGACATTTGGCTCCCCTCACTTCTTGAAGGTGACCTGCACAACACAAAAAGAGAACTCTTGCAGGTATAGAACTTGTTTGGCTTTTCTGCACGGAATCTCCTCACAAGGCAATCGGCTTGGACATTCCTACACTTTACCCAAGATGCCTCTGATAACGGGTAGCCCTTCCACTTGATCAGATATTGGGGTTGTCTCCTGTGCCGCCTCGAATTGAGGGTTCGCTGCACCTCGTAACGGGTTGTTGACACTCACCTTCTTTTCGTCTGCTTGAATCCCTCAGGGCCTCACCGTGATGTTGGGCGTTCAGCGAGTGGTTGGGTACTTGGCCCTGTGGGCCCTCTGTGCCCAGAGCAAGCCCACCGAGAAGAAGGACCGCGTCCACCATGACGCTCAGCTGAGCGATAAGGTCCACGACGATGGGCAGAACTTTGATTATGACCATGACGCCTTCCTGGGGGTTGATGAGGCCAAGACTTTTGACCAGCTGACTCCAGAGGAGAGCAAGGAGAGACTGGGGTAAGATAAGAGAACCTTGGACATGCGTGGAGTTTAAACCGAATTTAAATAGAACAGAACAGAATTCTTTACTGGACGAATGTGATTACACACACAAGGAAATTGTCTTTGGTGCATAAGGTCTCAGTACTGTACATAAAGGAAAACTATAATACATTCATCAAGAGTGATAAGATACAATGATGATAGTCATAGGTTACTAAATAAGCAATCAAATCATAGGTAAAAGTAAAGGTTCCCCTTGCACATGCATGCTGGTCATTTCTGGCTCTATGGGGCGGTGCTCACCTCCGTTACAAAGCCGAAGAAGAGCCAGCGCTGTCCGAAGACGTCTCCGTGGTCATGTGGCCGGCATGACTCAACGCCTTCGAAGGCTCACGGAGCGCTGTTCCCTTCCCACCAAAGGGGTCCCTATTTTTCTACTCGCATTTTTTTTACATGCTTTCGAACTGCTAGGTTGGCAGAAGCTGGGACGAGTAACGGGAGCTCACTCTGTGACGCGGCGCTAGGGATTCTAACCGCCGAACTGCCGACTTTTCTGATCGACAGTCTCAGCGTCTTAGCCACTGCGCCACCGTGTCCCATAATCAAACCATACTAGGGGACAAATAAATGTAGTCCTAAGTGGGAGGAAATAGGTAATAGGAAGGATGAGAAGAAGAATAGTAATACACACTTAATAAATAGTTGGACAGGGTTGAGGGAATTATTTGTTTAGCAGAGCGATGCCGTTTGGGGAAAAACTGTCCTTGTGTCTAGTTGATCTGATGTGCAGGGCTCTGTAGCGTCGTTTTGAGGGAAGGAGTTGAAACAGTTTATGTCCAGGATGTGAGGGGTCTGTAGATATTTCCACAGGCTACAGATCCTCCATGGAAGGCAGGTTGGTAGTAATTGTTTTTTTCTGCAATCTGTTCTGACCAAGGCTTATTGAGACACTAACAAACACACGTTAGTCCCAAAACCCGTTTTTCGGTATTTCAACGGCTGTGAATTTTAGTCATTCACAGCCCGTAATGAGTCTCCCAACAGTTTGTAAATAGCCCCACAAAAGTCTGCCACAGTCCTTTGGGATAAGGCTGATAAGCACCCACCTTTATCTCCCTTGACATGTTGCCAACAACCTAATGTCCAATTACAAGGACATTTAGTACAAGGTGAAACAGAGCACAAATTCAACGTCGAGTTTCAGGTTTCAAACCGACTAGTACGAACAAAGTTGCTTCCTGCAAAGGCTCATGTCCCTTTGCTCTTCCTTTATGTATTACGGGAGGGTCCAATTGCCTCCAAGCCTTACTCCCGAGTTGCCCCTTATTGTCTTAACAGTTCTTGCCTTCTGGCAGCTATGCACATGCGCATATTGGGAACAGGCTCCCGCTATTCCTCTGCCTCACTGCTGTCAGAGTCTGGAGGCTCCCAGATGGCCCTGGCCTCATCTCTGTGTGGGATGCAGATCCCTCGTCCGAGCCCTCCCCAGACTCCAGGACTGGCCCATGTTCCTACCCACCGTCCAACTCCGCTGCCAGCGGACCACAACACAGCCCTAACTATCCGTTGAAGTCTGTGCCTGTCTTGTTAGGTTGCAGGGCCAAACCAGACCATTATAGGGGTGCAGAGGATCGAATCCCCGAAATGCAGCGTCTCGACGTTCCCTTTAGTCTTTCCTTTTCAGCATTAAGTTCCAGGGGGTGTTTGGCTCTCCTAGAAGGCAGTTTCTTTAAAAAACAAACAGTTTTCAACTTACAACCACTTACTTAGCGACCGAAAATACAACGGCACCGAAAAAAGGGACTTAGGACCGTTTTTCACTCTTAAGGCCGTTCCTGCGTTCCCCCCTCACGGTCACGTGATGAAAATTCGGACGGCTCGGCAGCTGTCTTGTATTGATGACGGTTGCCGTGTCCCAGGGTCGCGCAATCCCCTTTTGCGACCCTCCGGTAAACGGCAGCGGGGAAGCCCGATTCACTTAACAGCCGGGTTGCGGGGATTCCGCTCGCGGCCGCGACAAGCCAGGTCGTAAAGTGGAGCGTCTGTGACTCGCCTCACAACCGGGGCAGGCTGGGTCGTAAAATGGAGCGGAACCCACTTCGCAACTCCCTCGCTTTAGGGAAAAGAATTTGGGGGGTGGGGAGGCTCACTTGTGGCCGTAAGCCGAGGACTACCTGTGGTTGCCCAGCCCTGAGCAAATTAAGTGTTGTTCATGGCTCGTCGTTTCCAGTTCGTTTATTTTCCTTGCTGTTTTTTCAGCTCGGATTCTTAATTCCGCCTCTTATTTTCTCAAACTTTCTGGAGTTAAACTAAGTTCCCTTCCAGTTAAGATGCATAGCCCCGATCTCAGATTCTGGGAAACCCGGACAGCTCACCTGTTGGTTTGCCGACATGCAACTAAACGGCTAGTCTAGAGAAAAGAAGGACTAGCTGGGTGGGCGACAGGATAGCAAATATTCCGGTATTTGAGGGGGGCTTCCCCAAAGAAGACGAGGGGGCCAATTATTCTCCAAAGCACCAGAAGACAAGAGGAGAAGCGATGGATGGGAACTAACGCAGGAGAGAAGCAACCTGAAATTAAGGACATTTAACCAGCGGAACCGCTCGCTTCCAGAAGTTGTGAGTGGAGTTTTTGGAGGCTGGACAACCATTGATTTGGAACGGAATAAGGTCTCCTGCTTGAGCAGGAGTGGGGGTTGGACTAGAAGACCTCCAAGGTGCCTTTCCAACTCTGATATTCTGTTACCACTGGAGGTTTAAAAGAAGAGCCACGTGTATCTGAAATAGTCTCCTGCTTGGACAAGGGGTTGGGCTAGTTCTGTTCTGATTGATTGAATAAATAGGAGGAGGAGGAGGAGGAGGAGAGGAGGAGGAAGAGGAGAAGGAGAAGAGGAGGAGAAGAGGAGGAGAGGAGGAGGAAGAGGAGAAGGAGAAGGGGGAGGAGGAGAAGAGAAGGAGAAGAAGGAGAAGAGGAGGAGGAG